AAGCAGAGAGCCTGATGCAGGGCTCAATCCCAGGACCCTGAGATCATGACCTGAGCCGAAGGCAGAGGCTTTAACCCACTGAGCCACCCAGGTGCCCCAACAAATAAACATTTTAATATAGTACTTTTTTTTTATTTCTGGCTTTCTGTTCTGCTATTGGTCTGCCTCTTTTGGCTCCAGAATCAAACTTTTTTTTTTTTTATATTTTATTTATTTATTTGACAGAGAGAGAGATCACAAGTAGTCAGAGAGGCAGACAGAGAGAAAGGGGGGAAGCAGGCTCCCTGCTGAGCAGAGAGCCCCATGCGGGGCTCGATCCCAGGACCCTGAGATCATGACCTGAGCCGAAGGCAGAGGCTTAACCCACTGAGCCACCCAGGCGCCCCCAGAATCAAACTTTTAATTCTTGATTTTTCAGCCTACTTAATACCTAGTACCCTTGACCAGCCTTGTTGTTTTCTGAAATTTTCTTTACCATTCTCAGCTTTTTATTCTTTCATATAAACTTCAGAATTTCTTTTTTGACCTGTTGTTTAAAATCTCTGGCATTTTAATCAAAATTTAATTATATGTATTCATTAAATAGAGGAGAATCGACAGCTTGACAACATTGAGTCTTCCAGTCCTGGAAAATCATAGAATGCTCCATTTATTGAAATATTTCTGAGGCACCTGGGTGGCTCAGTCCTTCAGCATCTGCCTTCAGCTCAGGTCAGGATCCCAGGGTCCTGGGATCAAGCCCTGCTTCCCTTCAGGCTCCCTGCTCAGTGGGAATCCTGCTTTTCCCTCTCCCACTCCCCCTGCCTGTATTCCCTCTATCACTGTCTCTCTCTCTCTGTGTCAAATAAATAAATAAAATCTTAAAAAAAAAAAAAGATTTCCTATTTTCTCAGTAGACTTTTATAAACTCCTTTATATTTTCTTCACTTTTCTTGTCTTTCCTAGAAATTTTATTACTGTTGCCATTCTGAATGAGATTTTTTTCCCATGATTTTTCTAACAGTTTGAGGCTGTTACGTGGGAAACCCAATTAGTTTGATTTTGTGATTGTTCACTGACATTTCTAATCATTTAAAACATTTTAAAAAGTTGATTCTACTGAGTAAATGATTATAACATATGCAAGTTGGGTAATTTTGTCTCTTGTTCCTCCTAATTCTTTAGTTTTTTCGTTTATTTGCTTGTTTGTTTTTATTCTTCTCTTGTCTGATTGCAAGGGCTTGAATGTCGGGAACAGTGCTGTGTGATGGTAGTAACAACGAGCACCCTTTCCCTGTTTCTCAATTTAATTTTAATGTCTCTACTACTATACCATTTAATATCTCTACTACTATACTATAGGACACTTGTGTTTGGTTTGGGTTCATCTTTATCATGCCAAGAAAAATTCTCCTAACTCCATTTTATTAATTTAAAAAATTGATACTAAATTTTATCAAAAGACTTTTCAAGAGTACCGCTTGTGCTAATTCAAAGGCTTTTTACCATCACGTCGTCATACTGATGCATTCCTTAATATTAAGAGTTTTTTACATCTCTCCAGTAAACTATGTTTATATGTGAGGTTAGTCTGTGGTTTCCACTATTATGCATTATCAGTTCGTTTGTTTGTGTGCTTTTGTGTCTGGGGTATTATGTTAGCTTTCTGTTATTTTTGTTCATTTGAACATTTTATACAGCCTGGGAATTATCTGTGGCTTGAAACTCAAAGATAACTTGATTGTGTAAGTAATTTGGACAAAAAACTTCTTTGGAAACAATTTCTTAATAACTTTGGCATTTTCCCATGCTTATTGATCCATTGTTTTTCAACTCCTTGGGTCAGTTTGCTTCTCATTAACTCTTTTGGCTCTATCTACAGTATTGGATATGGTATTCTCATTACTGAGACCTGCTAAGCATTCTGTGATTGCCGTTTTGATTTCTTTCCAATCAATTATTTTCTTAAAGAAGAGTCATAAAAATTTTCCAAGAGCTTGGTTCTTTTTTGACTTACACTTTTGCACTTATTTTATAGTTGTATTACAATGTGGTCATAGAATGTGGTGAAAATAATTTCTTTGTGGGGGGACATGACTTAAGATTTTTTGATGGTCTAATAAAAAATGAGTTACTGTTACTTTTCTTACGTCTTTTCTGAGAGGAGTAAACAGAAAATCCTTCTCTTTAATCATTCATTTATTCATTCAGCGTTGTCTCCATGTGTCTCCTACAGGTCAGACATTGGATTAGGCACTACAGGATATAAAATGAGGAAGTCACAGGCTTTCTTTAAGGTTGTCAAAGTGTGAATGGGACATAGACACATTAAGACCTACTTATAACATAGAGTAAGAAATGCAACAGTAACAGAATGTACAAAAGAAGGATTTAAGCCTTGTTCTAGGTTCTGGGAATACAAAGATGCCTGAGATTCCACCATAGTTTTGGAGAGGCTTAAGGTACAAAAGTGTAAAAATAAAACAAAATAAATTTTTGTTTGTCAGAGACAGGCTTTTGGAGACAGAACAACTAATCAGGGGGCGCCTGGGTGGCTCAGTGGGTTAAGCCGCTGCCTTCGGCTCAGGTCATGATCTCAGGGTCCTGGGATCGAGCCCCGCATCGGGCTTTCTGCTCAGCGGGGAGCCTGCTTCCTCCTCTCTCTCTGCCTGCCTCTCTGCCTACTTGTGATCTCTCTCTGTCAAATAAATAAATAAAATCTTTAAAAAAAAAAAAAAGAACAACTAATCAGGAAACTACTGCAGTCATTCAGGAATAAATTAAGATATATGGGAGCTGTTAGAAAACAGGAAGAACAGAGGGGATTTTTACATGTGAGAGCAGTGGGACTAATAATAATAAATAACTCTAATAGAGTGGGACTCTATTAGAAAAGTCCACGTAGGAGGCTGAAGGAGGTAGGAATGAAATTTTACAGAAGCCCAAAGAGAACACATTAAGGAGTGCTTGGCCAGTGAGGTCAAGTGCAGCAGAGAGATCAAGTCAGATAAAAGCAAAAAGGTGTCCAATAGCATTGGTCTTTGGTGACTTGGGGAAACGAGTTTCAGTGAAGTTGGGGGAAGAGGCAGACTGGAAGCCAACCTCAAGATAAATGGGATGTGAAGATGAGCGACACAAGAAGTGTGTCTAGAAACTCACCTGTGCTGGGAATGTGTAGGTTAGGGCAGTAATTAAGGAAGCAAAAGATCAAAAAAGATTGTTTTTAGGACGTAAAAATAATGTAAACATATTTAGACAATGAGGAGGGTGAGTGGACAGGGAGAGAAAGCGTGATGGTTGGCAACGGATCCAAGGTGAGACAGAAAGCTGGGGCGGGGGTGGGGGTAGCCTTTGGCGGGAGGAGGGCACTTCTTTCGGAGTTGAAGGAGAAGATTGGTACCTATAGGTGTTTGGGACACAAAGGGGGGATTTCCCCATTTGTTTGCAAGGTTAGAAAAGAGTCTTTTCGGGGGTGCCTGGGTGGCTCAGTGGGTTAAAGCCTCTGCCTTCGGCTCAGGTCATGATCCCAGGGTCCTGGGATCGAGTCCCACATCGGGCTCTCTGCTCAGCAGGGAGCCTGCTTCCCTTCCTCTCTCTCTGTCTGCCTCTCTGCCCACTTGCGATCTCTGTCTGTCAAATAAATAAATAAAATCTTAAAAAAAAAAAAAAGAGTCTTTTGGAACCTCCGGGACACTCCTGGATGCTGTCAGAAGGGCCCAGGATCTTTGTCTGTGTTGACAGTCCACTTGATATGTATGATTTGGAATCCATCCCTTCCTCTCTCCCAAAGGAATGAGAGAATTTCTATGCTTACCTTTCCCGAGACTGTTTTTTTCATTGCTCATTGAAGGGTTTCCAGAAGCCTCTGCCTCATTAACTATGTGGTATGCAATGGATCATCAGAATAATTAACACCACCAGTGGCAAATAAGGTGATTGATGGATGCCACAAGATCACAAAAGTTTCCATTACTGTTAAGTGCGAGGTATAAATAAATCAAAATAACATTTCCAGTCTTCAGTAGGCCTCCCTTTCTGTTTCTGATTCATGATTGTCATACGAGGAAAAAGGGTTAGGAAGGTGACATATTTTAGCACATTGTATTTTAATATCTGTAGTTTCGTTGTATTACTAACTTTGAACAAAAGGGGTATGTTTTGAAGCTTGCAAAACATTTTTCTATTTACACTTTGGTCACTCACATGTAGGTAACAAATTAGTCCCCTGAAAGAATGGCAAGACTGAGAGGTTTTGGTCTTCTGTTGTTGTTGTTGTTGTTATTCTGGAAAAACACTCTATCCTCTGTATGGAGGGAAACTTCTGGTTTGATTAATTTTGTAAATAATTATGAGACAAAACCCAGATATGGAAGATTGCCCACACAAGCTCCTCTGTTGAGTAATATCTCACTTACTAAAAATCAAGGTTGACAGTTTAACAGGCTCATTATGGTACAGAAATCCCCTGGGGCATTTTAACCTCTTAAAATCTCTTTTGGATGTTCAGTCTGCCAAAGGAGCTGACCGCCTGTCATACCGACATTCTGGCCTGCGTGGGCTCTGCTGTTAGAAGGTGGCACAAGAAGTCAGGTGCTATCCAAAGTCAGAGCGTCCACAGGCTTTCCTTGGAGAGGGGGAACATCAGCTCAGGTGAGAAGTATGAATTCAACAAGGCTCCCAGAACGTCTGCCACCTTCGTGAGTGGCACAGGAAACAGCAGGTCGGTTCAACTTCCTAGCACCAAAGGGGGCAGCAGCACATCTGTAAAGCGGCTTGCAAATCTTGTGATCATTTCTGTTTCCACTCTTGATTCCCCCGCTGATAGTCTCAATGGCTCTGCTGTGCCCCCCAAATGTTGATACGCTCCAACAGATAACTACAGCGTGCGGAAGCTCGGTCTCAGGTTACCTGAAAGTCATTTCCATTGGCTCTAGACGAAGCTGCCTCTGATAGTCTTCCCTAACCCCTCACCCCCTCGCCCCTCAGCATCGCCTGGCACAGCAGCCCTCGCCTTCGAAATTAACCCTAAACATCCTGAGACGGTTAGCCCACCTTCCTCACAACAGGCTGCCCGGTCTTACAGCTCTTCCCACAAACCGGAGCCTGGACGCTCTGGTTTGTGGGAAGATGGAGCAGCATCTTGATGGACCCTGGGGGCACCCGGACGCAGCATGGTTTCCACCTGCTGCACCGGTCGGTCTGTGTCTCCTTCGTCCTGCTGCTCAAGAACCCCAGTGAAAACCTGATGAGATGAGAGACCATAGGGACTGCAGCTCCTCTCCCCACACCCCTTCCTACCCCTCCGCCCCCCCCCATACACATCAACTTTCCACTTGCAGTGACCTGTCCTTCAGGGTGACTTATCAGCTGTTTGGGGTTTGCCACTGAAAGAAAACAAATTGTGGAATGCACCGCTCTGCGTGCTAATGAAATGGCTGAGCCAGCTCAGGGGTTATGAGGCTTGCGAATTAGGAGAATAATGATCTTCAGTTTCTGACCTCCTGGCACAGCGGCAGTATTTATCAGGAGGCGCATGTGACTGGTTAAGACACAGAGCCGCAGCTTGAAGGAAACAGCTGCTCGAGGCATGCTCCAGCACTTGGCAGCCGGACAGGCAGGGTGCTGATGTGAGGAGGACGACGGAACCGCCCCAGTAAGTAACTGGAGAACTTTTGAGAGAGAGAGAGAGAGGGAGGGAAAGGGAGAGAGTGTGTGTGTGTTTTGCAAGGCACTGACAAATTTTAATTTTGATCTTGGTTTCCATTTGGCATTCAAGGAGGTATTTTATGTTATCTGTTGTTAATAGCCATTTGCGTTTTTACTGATTTAGTAGTATTATTATTATTTTTAGAATCTGTCATTTGCAGCAATGTTTTATTCTAACTTTAAGGGTGAATAAGGCGTTTTGCTTGATTCCTACCTAGGAAGCTGTGAGTTGATTTCCTGGTGTCTGGGATTTTTATGGTCTGTGGTGTTTAGGTTCAAAGCCAAGATTCAGGTTATGAAGAAGAGAGCTTACAATAAAGTGGACTGATGACTGGATTTGATTTGAATCGATTTCACCATTGAAATTTGAAAAAAATAGTGCTTTGAGAAAGGTGTATGTCTCATTTGATCAGTCAGCTTGGGAAACGATCTCATTTAACGGTGTGTAACAATCTGCAATACAGAAAACTAACATAATGATATGTAGATTTAGATAAGGAAGCATTTTTTTTTTTTTTTTTGAGTTCAGGCATGCTTTCCAACTCACTGAAGATACATTTTATAGCTCTTTTTGGGAACAAGCTAATTCAACCTCATTACTTTAAAGCTAATTTTTTTTAGTCACCCCCTGGTCCTCCTGACTTTAGATAGATAGATAGATAAGGGCAAGTTAGCATTTTGATGATGCTCAGTGTCCCTCCTTGTCGATGCCCTGGATGATCAAAGTGCTTCCTGCGGCTGGTTATCAGCTCTGGGGGCCTGAGAGCCGGCTTCCAAGTAACAGACCTGTTCTCTCTTTCTTGGGTTCATTCAGCTGACTGGAGCTTGCTCTCTGGAGAGCAGCACAGCAGGCACCATGCTGGAATGGGGCTGTTGTTCAGGGACTTGCGTCTTTCTGTGGTAGTCACCAGCCAGAATGTTTAAGAAAGGAAAAGGGGAAAGGGAGAGGACAGAACCTGGAATCAGTGAGGTAAACCTCTGGAAGTGACAGTCCTCTGAATCAGAGCCCTGGGGGGAGATAACCAAACAAGTTCCTTTTTCTGGAGTGCCCGGACATTAGAAGGGAGGCGGGGGCAGGTTGTTTTGATTCGGTTCTTACCAAACAGTTGTTTTGCTTGAGACAAGCACAGGGTATTCCAAAGTGAGTTTGTTTCCCCCAGGTGACTGATGGATGGTCAGATAGGCTCAAGGGGTCCAGCTGTCTTGCCATTTCTGCTCCCTGCCTGGAGGGAGCTCTGCTCTCCCCACACCCCCTCCACCCATGGGAGGCAGAGGATGGACTGAAAATGACCAGAGCACTCTGGGCCTGTGGCGGTTTCCCTCGGTGCAGCTGGTCTTGGGTACCACACCCGTCAAAGATCTGGGACAGATGCACTTTCAGATGCCCATCTGTAAATGGGGCTAGTCTGGCACTGGGAAGTTTCTCCTCTTCTTCTCCTTAAAATGTAGAAGAGTCTACAAGACCTGGAAAGTTCAACAAGCAAAAAATTCCTCTTTATGCCATTTGTGTGAGGGCCTTGATTTAGCCCATGGCCGTGTGGCTCAGCGACTTCCCGGTTGGCCCGCAGGGTTGCCCACTGGGCCACTTTTTAGGGGAGTTTGCTCGTGGTTTAGTTTTGCTTTTACTGGAGGCATCGTGGAAAAGAACTATCAGGTGAAATTTTGTCTCCAGGATAATAGAGACACCCACAATAAAATGGGGGGGGGGTCTCATTGACAGGGTATCGTTTGAATTATTCAAGTGCTGAATTTTTCAAGGCCCACAGATGATTTTGAAAAACCCTATGCTATCTTGAATATTAACAGCATAATGAATAATTATTTTACGTGCCAAAAGAATGCCTATAGAGTCACAGACTTTTAGATTTGGATAGAAATTCTAGAATGTACCATCCATTTCAAAGTTTGAGAAAATTATAACACATTTATCTGGGTCAAAGGGCTAGCTTATTACAGAGCTAGCAAAGAGGGCTCAAGGCTTCTGCCACTATTATTATATTATGATTATAACATTAATCCTAATAATTATAACTTACATTTACTGTGCACTTACTCTGCCAAATGATGTGCTAAGCAAATGTATTCATTTTTATATAACCTTCACAATACCTCTGTGTACTAGTGATCATTATTTCAGTTGTATAGATGGAGAAACTGAAGCCTCAGGATCCCCTTCGGTCGCTGGGCAGTCCATGGCACAGACAGAAGCGACTCCTGGATCTGACTCCAGAAACAGCACACATGAAAAAAAAAGCATGGAACACATACACTGATCCCACACATTCAAACTTAAAAGCGTAATGCTTAATGAAGTGCTTAACTGAATGCAAACGAGAACATTTCAGTTGCACAGGACACACACACACTGCACACACCCTGCGGGAAGGCTCTTTCGAACACTCCGGGGCAGGAAGGGTGAGGTTTCCCCTTGTGACAGTCCAGGCCTGAGCTGTTCAGATCACTGACCTGCAGCATGTTTTTCTCGCTGAGAGTAGTTCAGGGATGGCTCTCCCATTGGGAAGAACGGCAAGTTGGAGCTTTACCGTTAGCCTGGAGCACTCCACGGTCCCTGCCCTTTCTGGCCTTTTCCTCAGCTTTTCCTGTCACTCCTTTCCTTTGGAGGACAGCTGCTCCACCCCTGCCGCACCCCAGTAGCTGGCTTTGTGGTGATAACACTGTTACCAGACCTGTTCGTTGTTATTCCACCTGGAAGGCTGGTTGTCCCAGCAGGTGGTGGTTACTCATGAATAGAAACAATGTAGTCCTTCCATCTGTTTGCTCCTGCTGTTTTGAGTCTGAGGGGGAGGTTGGAGGCTGCCAGGAGTGAGGTGCAGGAGGAGAGGCCTGCTTTTCCCAGTCAAAGGAAATGCTGCCTGCTCCGGCGTTTGCCCAGGTACAATCTTCTCCCTGCACCTGTCGCGTAGCTAAAGACTGATGGTTCTTCACTTGTGGGCCATGAACCTGAAGCTTCTCTGGGTCATCGGCCAGACAGAGACCAAACCCTTAAAGAAACGTAGTTCTTGGGGCACCTGAGTGGCTCACTTGCTTAAGAGTCTGCCTTCGGTTCAGGTCATGATCCCAGGGTCTTGGGATCAAGCCCCACATGGGGGTCCTTGTTCAGCGGGGAGCCTGCTTCTCCCTCTGCCTACTGCTCCCCTTGCTTGTGCTCTTTCTCTCTGTCAAGTAAATGAATAAAATCTGAAAGAAAGAAAGAAAGAAAGAAAAAGAAAGAAAGACGCAGTTCTTGAACCCTTCTAAAAATTTAATTTGGTTCCTCCCTATTGTTAAATGTCCAAATTAGGGCTGGTAATGAGAAAGAGGACTGAGTGATACGTAGACAGCAGAACGGTCCTGTGCTTAATCAGGAAGAAAATTAAGTCTGGAGACCAGTCATGGATGTCTTTGAGAAAGTTAGCAATTTTTTTTTTCAAGGCTGTTACATGGCAAGATTACACATTCTGAAGGTCAAGCTATTTACAGCAAGAAAGAGGATTTTTTAATCAACTTATCACCTGCCGATGCTTCTAAACCAGCTCCAGAGAAGTCACCAAAACAGTCTGCTAAACCAGAACTAGAAATTACCTCCAGTTCTTGCTGGGAATGGCTTATTTCCATGGGCAGTGGGTACTGTCCAGTGCGATAAACAGAGACACATGAGACAGATTAAAAATCACCGCAGAGTTTGTAAATTGTAAGCCGGTTTAAAGCAAAATAAAGTGTTTGCTTATCTTCTTGGGAGCTTTTAGGATGAGGAAACAAAATTTGTGATACCGTGTTGGTTGGCTTTGTTTCTTTGTTTTTTTTTTCCAGATGGTGTGTTCCAAAGAACCTGTTACCAGAGTTCCCTCCCCTGGGTCCCACTTCCCCTTTGCACTGATCGTTCATTTACAGTCCCTAGAGTTGTTCCCCTACTTGCAAGTCCCATTCCCTTCCTCTGATGGATTTGAAAGTCTGGGGTTTTGTTTGTTTGTTTGTTTTCGTAGTTGTAAATGATCACAGTAGCATCTCTGAGTCTGTGTAGGTTTGCTGTGTTTGATCTTGAGTCCATTTGGAGTATCTAGAAGACCAACTCCTGCATTTATACTGGAATGTTCTGGGGTAAGGCACTTTCTTGCATTTTGCCACAATCCTGTGAAAGAGGGAGGGCATCATCACCACGGTTCGCCCTGAGGAAACTGAGAATGAGGCCAAGTGAGTGACAGGGAACCAGTCCCTGGCAGAGCTCAATGCAATCCTCCATCCTCTGACTCTGAATAGTACTATCTAGAGTATTATCCTCTGTGATCAAAAGTGCCATAATTTGTATTATTTCTGGTGGGCAACGGGTAAATGGGAGACTGATTCAGAACGTACCATCTTGTGCATGTCAGTGAGTGTATCTGTGCAGTATTTCTTTAAATGAACTTAGTGGTTGTTTTCCTCCCCTGCACACACAGTGTGGTTAAGTTGGGGTCCTACTAACTAGGGCATGATATAATATTCAACTCCTATAAGGGATCTGGGGTTTTTTGTTTGTTTGTTTGTTTTAGGTACAAAAAAATGCAGCCTGTTGTTCAGCATGCCACTCCATTGTCCCACAAAACCGTCAGCAGTCTTGGAATCCTCCTGGTTACAGTACTTGGACTCCCATGGGAAATGTATAAATCTGACTACTAGGAACAGGGTCCACTGTGACCATTTGCCTCCACAAAGTTACCTCAAGAGTCCTAGCTTGCTAGGATAATTGAGCATCTCCACTACTAGTCCGTTTTCTGTTATGGTCACCCAGTTCATTGTATAACAATGTTATCTGTGTGTTGGCAAGGTCATAAAAATGACAGCACCCAATGCCTGATGATTTTACAATGTAGCTGCACATTTTAATGGCTGTGACTTAGAGGTGGGGGTGGGGGGAAGCAAGGGAACCGCCCTTTGACAGTAATAGCCATTACAGTCTTTCTTTCTAAA